AAAAGGAGGAAAAAAGAAAAAAGGAAAAAAGGAGGAAAAAAGAAAAAAGGAAAAAAGGAGGAAAAAAGAAAAAAGGAAAAAAGGAGGAAAAAAGAGGGAAAGAGGAGGGAAAAAGGAGGGAAAAAGAGAAAAAAAAAGAGAAGGGAAAAAGGAGGAAAAGAGGAGGGAAAAGGAGGGAAAAAAAGAGGGAAAGAGGAGAAAAAAAGAGGGAAAGAGAAGAAAAAAAGAGGGAAAGAGAAGAAAAATGAGGAGAAAAGGGAGGAAGAAAGGAGACAAATACTCTTTCCCAGCCCCAAGTGTGCCCAATAAGCCCTGCCAGGAGCAGCCAGTCCTGATGGACTGAGGAATGTTCAAAGTGAGGGGACAGAAAATGGGGATGCAAAACGAAAAGAAAGGAGCCAGAAAGAGCAGGAGCCGAGGAGTGAGCACAGCAAGATGCAGGAGGTGAGGCACGAGTACCTGGTCCAGAGCACAACCTTCTCCCCGGTGGAGCTGACTTTGCTGTTCTTGGCACACACGGTGGCCTCTGTCACTCGCTGCTGCTGCTGCTGCTCCTCCTCCCTGTGCCCCGGGGCTGCTCTGGCCTCCTGCTGCACCTGGCAGCTCCTGCTTGCCTTTGACCTTGGCGTGGCCTCAGCAGCACCTCCAGTGCAGCCCCTGTGCTGTGTCCCCAAAGTGCAGCTCTCAGCCGGGGCTGCTTTGCTGCTCCTGGTGACCCAGCCCTGCTTGGCTGCAGCTCCTCCCTCCAGGGCCAAAGCTGCTGGCCCGGGTTCTTTGCCAGCTGCCCCTGAGGCAGGGGCTGAGCCCCTGGGCTGCTGTGCTGCCTCAGGATGCAGCCCCTCAGTCTGGCACGGGCTGTGCCCGCAGGGCAGCCGGGGTGCCAGGGATGCTTTTGCAGCAGCAGAGAGCAGCAGGTCCCTGCTCGGCCCCAGGGAAGTCTCTGCATTCCCTCCAGGCTGCCTCAGCCCCTCGGTGCAAGGGCAGTCTTTGGTTTCTTGAGGTAGTTTTAGAGCAGCTTTTTGTAGCTGTGCCCAGCTGGGGCCAGTGGCAGCACAGTGCCTGTCCTTGGCATCATCCACAGCTGCACTGGCACCTTCTGGAGCCTGGGCATCAGCAGGGGCAGGTTTTTCACAAGATCCAGGTCTGCTGGAGGCCACCCTTCCTTCCAGGTGAGATCCTGATAAGAAACCCAAACAAGAGAAGCTGTAAGGAAAAACCCCTGGAGGCTTCATTTCCTGACTTTTTATAAAGAGATTTTTATTTACAGAGCCTAATGCTGCACTTGGGAACAGTTTGGGAGCAGCTTTGTGACTCCACCTGCCCTTTCCCCACCTGTACTTCAAAGAAAACAATCTACAGCCAATTTCCTTCACCCCCGTGAGTTGATACAAACATCTGCTGTGTGAAGTGATGAAATTTTCAAAGTGCATTGCCCAGAGCAATCCTCTCCAGTGAAACAGCCACTGCTGCTCTTGACACCCTGGTTACAAACCCAGACACGAGGCCACATTTCAGCTCCTGTACTGGGCTGTGTGCTGTCCCCAACAGCAGCACGGGCTGAGCCCTGGCTCCAGGGAGGAGGAGAGATCTCATTTGGGTTGTTTATCCTGCCATAATTGTGTTTCTCCTTGTCTGTACCAGACTGGAGGAAAAACAAGCAGCACAGAGATTGTTTAATGGTGGTTCTGAACTGCTGTGCTAAAATAGAATCTGGAAAAGAACCAGTACCATGGACTGGGGACTGGAGCAATCACTGTGAACAGAGCAGAATATTCTCTAGGCAGGAAAGGTTTTGTTGAAGGGAATGATCAACAGGTTTAGAGCATCCAGAGTGGAGGAAGAAGAGAAAAAAAAGTGAGAAGAAGATGATTAGAAGTTCTCATTATACTCAATAAACGTGCATGAGAAATACCTGAACCTCTGCTCATTTGTGTGCAGAGGGTTCCACACCTGGCTGAGCAAGACAAAAGTTTCACACACCTGGAGACAGAGAGTCCACTTTCCTAGAGACAGGTTTTGTTCTGCTCTGGATGTCCTCTCCCTCATCTCTGCTCTCCAGGTTTTCTTCTCCAGGTTCCTTTGACATTCCAGGATCCTTCCCTTCTGGCTGGGGACTTGACTCTCGCTGAGCAAGGCTGGCAGGCAGCTCTTGAGAATCTTTATTTTTATAAAATTTGCTTTCACACACCTGCAAACCAACCCACAAGGCACAATCACACACGTGTGGGTCTGTCCCCCCCAGCCACACCTCAGCCTTTGCCTCCCAGGTATTCCAAAGGCTCCACCTGGGCACTGTGATTGCTTTACAAAGTTGTTAGCATGATTATGGTTGTTATTAGGCATGCATCTTTTCACACAGTGGCCACACCAACATCTTCCACTCAAAAAACTGATTCTTAACCCAGAAGAACATCAGAAATGACATCGTTGAGCAGAGCAAGGAGGGGCAGTAGAAAATGAGGAGGAAAGATGGGAGCAGGCCAGGCAGGGGCAGTCACAGCTCCAGACAGGGAGACACCACTGGGCACTTCTGGATCGATTCCCTTCCTCAGCCCAGAATTTGGGAGACAGGAGGCCCCAGGAGGAGCAGGGCAGGGACAACTGTGAGGACTCCACTGACCTTGCTGCTGCTGCAGTGGCTGCAGCTCCTCCTTTTGCTTTTCTTCAGCTTGAGATCGTTACTCCCTTCATGGCAGGAACAAGAACATTCCTTCATCCCATCCACCCACTCGACCTCCTGCAAACAGACAGACAGACAC